AGTTGGTAATGAAGAACCCATTACAAAATGCAGACCCAAGCAGCTCAGCGGTTGTGTCTTCGCTTTGCATGCAGTGGGTCTCGGGTTCGAATCCCGGCTAGGTGCATGGATGTTTGTTTGTTTGATTTGGTTTGTGTGTGATGTTCAAGGCTTTGTCGACAAACCACAGTGGTGATTTCTGACAAGAAAGCAGAAAAAAAAAAAAAAAAAAAAAAAAAAAAAAAAAAAAAAAAAATATTAAGTCTAAAAGTCTGTCATTTGTATTATACAGGGTGTATATTTTAAGTGATACCACTATTACTATAAGTATCTGAAACGGTAAGAGCTACAAGGTCGGTTAAATTAGAGAAAAGTTGCCTTTTTTGATGCCCATTCAAAACTTGTTTACAGTGTTGTCAAATTCCTCTTAGTTTATGAAATACAGGGTGATTTATTGAAAACGCCAAAAACTATTTCATCAACTATTTCGAAAACTATTGATATTCGAGACACAATTTAAATTTGAAAGTTTTATAATTTTTTTCGCTCTACAACATGGCATCTTCAAATTTCAAATCCCACGTTTCGTGATCGAGCTTCCATCATCAACTGCATTTTTTTTAATACGGACTTGGTCTATTTATGTCATTTTTACAAAGGGAATAAAACGCACTTTCTAAAAATGACATAAAAAATCCAGGTCCGTATCTAGAAAAATGAAGTTGATGATGGTAGTTCGATTACGAAACATCGGATTTGAAATTTGATGACACCATGTTGTAGAGCGAAAAAAATTAAAAAACTTTCAAATTTAAATTGTGTCTCGAAAATCAATAGTTTTCAAAATAATTGATGAACTAGTTTTGGGCGTTTCTTAGAAATCACCCTGTATTTCATAAACTAAAAAGAATTTGACAACACTGTAAACGAGTCTTGAATGGGCATCAAAAAAGGCAAGTTTTTTCTAATTTAACCGACCTTGTAGCTCTTACCGTTTCGGATATAGCAATAGTGGTATCACTTAAAATATACACCCTGTATATGTTATTGAATTGCATAAGACCATTATGAGAAAAAGCTTACAGCAACTCGCTATATTTTGGTGGTACAATAAAAGGTTCAAAATGGCTATCATCTTCTAGCCAATGAACCGTTGAGTAATTAAAATCTCCACATATTAACACAGGATGATCTTTAATTTTACTCAAATTTACGCTCAATTTTGTTAAAAAACAGGTATAATTAATATCATCACCATAAATACACTTTCAAAAGAGCCCAAACATCTTCTTTCTTAGAGCAAGCCGTAATTCTATCTCTCCGAAAAACTGAGTATCTTCCCAAGTATTTAAAAAGACTTTTTTGATACTTTCTCGTCATATCATACGCAGATACTATGACAAAATTCGTTCAAATAAAAAAGTTTCTCGCTTACCGAAAAACATGCTGCACTTAAAGTACAATTTGAAGTTCAACCCAGTTTCCAAAAACAAATTGAGTCATTATGGGATTTAAACTAGCACAGTTATCACCGCTCATATTATGTCCTCTACCGATTAAAAAAAAATTATGTTGATAGGTTTATTAGTTCCGGAGTTATCGCGTGGTGGGTTTAAAAAAAACACGAAATTAACATTTTGACATATTTGTCACATTTTTTGAAATAAAAAATTTCTGCTCCCGCGAAAAAAGTCGTAATTAGCCATTTTAGATGCACAAGAGCATAACCGATCATCCTGTATAGGTTTCATGTGGTTAGACCTTCAAAAAAAAAAAATCGAGAAGGAAGCGACTTTTTCCTGTGTTTTTACTCCACTATACTCAGGTTGTGGCTTGTGACTGAAAATCTGAAATTTGAAAGTGTCAGGGTGCCACTTCTTGATGTTGCTACATGCTCCCCGAAAAAATACAGTTTTAAAGTAGAGAGTGGCTTGGGGGGGGGGGGGGGGGGGAGCAAGCCCGATGGCGCACCTCCTGCGCGCGCCACTGCGTAGCACTGGCTATAATTCAGTATCAAAACTTGTTTTTTCATATACATATAACAAAGTATACTTAGAACATTGACACATATCTTTTTTGAAAGAAAATATTGGACTTCTTCTGTAAATAAATTATTAAGAAGATAGGCCCGTTCGTAATAACAAAAACAAATGTTTGGCTGTTTGACAAAGCAGATATGCCACTAAAATTGAATAATGGCTACTCGGTGTATTATGGAGATATGCCAGTTCGTCACAATATAGATATGGTTCTTTTAAGTATTTTTATGGGAATAACTCATTTTCCCAGATATTGAGATATTCCCGAGGATAGGCCCCTTCGTACTGACAGTCATTTATGAAAATTGAGAACAACAGGGGACCAAGGTTACTACCCTATGGCACCCCTCAGATGCCCATATTATGTATTTTTATCTACCAGTAGACCATGGTCAACCCTATCCAAAGCTTTGCACAGTCTGTAAGGACAACATCTAACTGTTCCTTACTATCTAATGCTATCTATAGCCTTCGCTGCGGCCTCCGCCAGGATGCTAAGATTGGTGAGACTCGAAACTCCTCGCAGAAAAATCATTCATAAAGCTCATGATATCTGTACTTACAATAAATTTTCAAAAATTTTTGTAAGAGAATTACGAACACTAATTGGCCTGTAATTGTCAACCGAACTGACATATCTCGATTTGAAGACAAGAGTCACAGCTGCACACTTCAATAGTTGAGTAAACTTGCCCATTCTCAGATACAGGTTGAAAAGTGTCACTAATGGAGCACACAGGATATCAGAACATCCCTTATAGAAATATGAAGGCATGTCCTCATTGCTAGTAGCCCTTTTTGGCTTCAACTTCTTCATGCTTGCCCATGATCTGTTCCTGTGTGATAGGGGAGAAAGTAAAGTTATCATTACACTCATTATTATTAGGTAAAACTCTCAGACCGCTAGCGTAGGAACACTAAGCTAAAATATAGAGCAAATGTGGCAGCCACCTCCTGAGCACCACTGACAGTACAACCCTCATAACAGACCTGCAAGGGAATACCAGGTTTTGCACACTTGAACCTTACATGGTCTGAAAACCTATTTGAGTCCATGTTGACATTGCTCTCATGATAATCCTGGAGCTTTTGTGCAGTTGGATACTTAATTGTAGTTCTCAGAATCTTGTAATTATTCTTTACTTGAATGGTGGCGCTACCTTTTCTTATTTGTCTGTGAAGACGTTTTTTAATGCAGAAGAGCCCCCCCATTGGTGCCTCTTTTTACTACTCTTCTGAGTATTGCCCAGTCCAAACAAAAACTTTTGCATAAAACAAACAGGTATATATATGCATCCACATTATCAGTCATTTGAAGATCCGACTAATTTCCCAGATCCCCAAGCAGTCTGTACAACATCTCAAAATCACCCTGTGAATAATAATAAATATACTTTTATTTACAGCCTTTTCTGTTTCTGAGTCATACAGACACAGCCATACTTTGAGCTGGATGATATTAATCTGCCTCCAAAATTGGGTCATCACAGTTTTCCAAACAATCCTGTTCAATTATTGTATAGTCCTCTGTTGAAATGCTGTATATTTATGTTGAAGTACTGCATAGTCCTATTGTTGAAGTACTGTATAATCCTGGTGTATGGTCCTGTTGAAGTAGTGAATAGTCCTGTTGAAGTACTGTATGGTCCTGTTGAAGTTCTGTATAGTCCTGTTCAAAAATGTGTACACCTACTGTGGATAGCTAGAAACCCCTTCGGTTGCTCGGTTGTTGAGAAATGAGCTGGACCAAAGAATGGACCCAATATTTCTGAGAACCAAACAGATAAAAAAACATAAAAACAATAACGCAATTTCTCATGCTGTCATTTGCCAAGTCATTTGCTGAATTAAAAAATAATTGATCTTTGATGACCACATAATCAGCTCCATAATGAGAAAGAATCAGTTCACTTAAGACAAGATTGAGCTCTGGACAAAAACGGACCGAGTTTGGAACAAGGCCAAAACCTCTAGAGCCAGGATGGCACGGTCAAAGTGTACTTGGATCAATAGTCTAAGATCCGAATAGGATCTGTTTATTGGATGAAAATTATTTTCTATCAAAGTTAGTATGTTAAAAAATATATCAGGTGTGGGTTGGCTAAAAAATTCCTGGCCAGACTATTATTAATAAATAATTCAAAAATTATAATTGTTAAAGGCATTGTACTCATTTGTTTAACGAACAAATTCCATACTAATCGAAAGTATAGGGCCTCAAGAATATAAAAACGTTGGATTGTCTATTTTTTTCCTGGCATAACTATCAGGTTGGCAGGTTTGAACAGGTGAGTCGATACTAGTAATTCACACCCATCTGTTTAATGAATAAATCTTATATCAAAAAAAAGTTATTTTATTGTGAACACAATGATATAGGGTTGTCTACGAAAAATCTGGCCTGAATGATGGTTGGCGAGCTTTGAAAAGCGAAATTTTGGTGCGGATGGAAATATGTGACAGAGCCGACAGAGGGGTGTAAGATTTATACATTAAATAGATGGGTGTAAATTACTAGTATCGACTCACCTGTTCAAACCTGCCAACCCAATAGTTATGCCAGGAAAAAAAATAGACACCCCAACGTTTCTATATTCTTTAGGCCCTATACTTTCGATTAGTATGAAATTTGTTCGTTAAACAAATGAGTGCAATGCCTTTGACAATTATAATTTTTGAATTATTTATTAATAATAGTCTGGCCAGGAATTTTTTAGCCAACCCACACCTGATATATTTTTTAACATACTAACTTTGATATAAAATAATTTTCACCCAATAAACAGATGGGTGCAGATCCTTTCCTATTCGGATCTTCCACTACAAGTACTCTTGGACAACTGTATATCCAAGTCCAGTTGGATAGGTCCTAACATCCGAGTAAATAAGTAGGCTGGCTGCCCGTGCCAACCTATACTTGGTCCAAGTTTGTCATCCAAAGGACCGTGTCAACCTGACTTAAAATAACAATTTTAAACTTACCATATAATAATTGAAGGTATAAAGATGTTTTTTTCCATTAGAAGCCCAAAGCAAATGTTTCCTTCGGAATCCCTGCTCACCTCTGAACTTGGTGGGATGTTATCCAATAAAAATTGTTTTAGTTTAATAGATATACCAAAAACAGTTTCAAATGTTAATTCTTCAATAATTCCTTGATGTGTTGAGTGGATAATGGCGTTTTTTTTTTGGGAATGTTTCTCGAGAAGGTTTTGAAGCTTTATTGACTCCATTGAAGATTAAATCTAGTTCTAGTGCAAAGAATAAAATAAAAATCAAGTAGTACATGAATGAACAGGGCAATCCAATCCAAATGGCGGCCAATGTCAGGCGACAAGCATTTTGCGCCATAAATGAAATTCAAAGAACCATGGATATTTTTTTTTTCGAAAAACTGTTTTTTGTGGTGTTTCAAGTTGATTTTTTAGTGCTTGGAAGGGAAAGATAATTGTCGTATTTTAGGATGGAAAGTTTTTATTTTAAGAAGTTATTCGTGGAAAACCCGGATGCTGGCAAAAGGTATGAATTCTTTGTGACAAACCTTTACCTACTAAACAATTAGGTGTGTTTATTTTATTTGTCTTCTATTCAACGTATCGACACAACTTGAGGTGAGGATAGTAAATGGCTTGGATCTTGGATCCATACAAACAACGTTTGGAGAACGGAGAGACTTTTTGTTTTTTGGTAATTTTTCCAAAGAATCCAAATATTATGTTCGATTATGTTGGGTTATAGACGCTAGTCGGTGATTTGAGGATCATTCAAGATGGCGCGACGGCCAAACGTTGGCCAAACTTTACGATTCTTGGGACAAACTTCATTTTGTAGTGGTGTTCTGTCTGCTGTTTGTTCAGAGTTTTACAATTTTATGTGCGTTAAAGTTGTATTTGTGAGGGGTAAATCTGTTGAGTGCAATACGGCAAGACATTTTCATCATCGAAAAGCCAATATTTACAAGAACTTGGTGCCCAGTCAGGATTATCCACATTCTCTAACTTTACTTGGTTCTCCTATAATAAAACCACAAGATGATTAAAGACATGATGCAAAATAGCAATCATTTAATTTTTACCTGTAAATAAATGGTTACTACACAAACTCTTTACTCTTTGGTTTGCTACTTGATTGCGAAAGATCGTTTCGTTTGATTGCCGCTAACTATGCTATTCATATTCGTCTTTCTCCTGATATTTCATTAAAATTTGGAAAATATAGTGACTGATATCGCTTGGCACCTTGTCTCGGCAGCTTCCACATCTCACCAAACACTTTATCCGGCATTTCACAGCACTAACACTAAACACAAAAATATTATGTAGTTTCTGCCCGATTTAATAGGTTACGTAGGAACCCAGTCAACAAATATTTTCTTGAATAATCAAAATTAAACTTGCAAGCAAAACTCGGGCAAAATAATGATGCGATACGCATAAAAAACAATCAAAACAAACTTGCTTGGCTGCCACGCCATATTGAAGGCCAAAATACCAGGGCCGAGTTCAGAAATAACGCACAGGGTGCGAGTAGTGCGAGTGCGATTTTATGGGTATGCCTGAATTGACAATTGGCTATTGGGCCCATAGCACCGTCTAGCATTTTTGAACAGCTAGGGCGTCGCACCGGTGTCACACTCACACTGGGTGTGTCATTCCTGAACTCGCCCCAGTTGTGACGTTGGCAGCATGTTATTACTCGCCTTGTAGAGTGTGTATTCTCCCTGCAATGAACTATCGGGATGCGCACGCTAAGTTGTATTCGTTTCACACCTAGGAGGAGCTCCGGAACAGCTCCGGGGCGTTACGCGCATATTCCTTTCGAAAAATGTTTGTTGCACCACGCATCTGTTCCTTTCAAATCGGGGGCGACTAACACCGGAGTCACCGGAGCGAGTAGCTCGAGTGTTTCAGACTGTTTGTTGAAAGGAATAACTATTGCCATCAAGGATAATACACACTACTAAGGATTGCTTATCGGCCTCGTTTTTGGTAATCGCCGCCATATTGGTGTGTCACCATTTCCGACGTCATAACCAAGTTGTCAGGTGTTTGCACTGGCGGTCGTACTTTAGAATTAAAATTTATGATGAAAAAAAAATATATTTAATTTTGATTAACATGGCAAAGAGGAAGATGAAAACGAGATCTAAAAAAATAATGTTAAATAATATAGTAAAACCAAGTATTTAATTAAAGCAAAAGCCCGCGGAATCATAACGTGTGGTGCAAACAGCCTACGTCAAGGCGGGAAAGGACATGCTGCCTACGTCAGAACTGGTGATATGGCGTGGTGGGGGGCTTTAGATTTGTTCCACACAGGCCTTATGACGATAGGCTATCCTGTGATAGTGGTTCTTATGCCTCATTCTCACTTGCGCGAAATTTGCTGTTTTTGCGCGAAATTAGCTCTTTTTTTGACATTGCTTCGACAATTTGACGTTTTATGCGTGTATCAAATGTCAAATTGTTGAAGCAATGTCAAAAAAGAGCGAATTTCGCGCAAGTGAGAATTAAGCCTTAGTCGTAGTTTAAATTATCCTTGAATCGCCATATCCGTCAAAAAGTGACTGAAGCCCCCCACCACGCCAAATCATCAGCTGTGACGTAGGCAGCATGTCATTTCTCCTCTTGACGTAGGCTGTTCGCACTACCGGTTATGATTCCGCGGGCTTTTGCTTCATGCATACATAGGTACTTGGCTTTACTACATTAATTAACTTTCTAAAACAATTCTTTTTTAGATCTCAGTAGATATAGTTTGACAGTTCTGCATCCTCCGACGCCTCCGACGCCTCCGTGACGTCCGCGCATGCGCCAACCAGGGCGTCGCGACGCCGTGACGTCATCAGTCAGTTGGCATCTGTCAATGTCATTCAGCTGTCAATGCCACCTGTCAATGTCAGTCATCTGTCAATGTCACCCGTCAATGTCAGTCACCTGTCAGTGGTCTGTCAATGTCAGTCAGCTGTCAATGTCATCTAACCCAATCTACCTGAACTACTCCAACTTACCCGCTCTCTGATGCGCCATCTATAAACCCCGTATAACATTACTGTGTATTTTCTATATTTCTACATGTACAGATGAAAAAATACGTGAACATGCATGAAGAAATATAAAGAAACAGATGGGCAAAAAAAAAATACTAACCTCAAACAATTTTTTATTTAAAAACATACATTTTTCAAGACTCAACTAAAAGCGACATTTGGTTTGGTCGTCCTACATCCTTCTGACCTCTGTATATTATTGAATATTTTCCATCCATAAACTGCTCATCTTCCAATGGTGGTACGGAAGAAACACTGCCTTATCGTCATGATTGATTTCAAATCCATATCTAAAAAATATTCTGTAGGTATTGATATTAGTATATAAAAGATTTACTTGTTAAAAAAAATGTGTTTTGGTTTCATCGTCCTACATCCTTCTGGTCTCTATTATTGAATATTTTCCATCCATAAACTGCTCATCTTCCAATGGTGGTATGGAAGAAACACTGCCTTATCGTCAAGTTCAATGAGGATACTCGGTTCGAATTTACTTTGGGTTTTAGCAGATAATATTGGGCTGCCAGGCTCCATGTCTTGTAATTTCACAAGTGTTTTTTGAAGAGCCAGGTCTCGTTGATTGATTTCAAATCCATATCTGAAAAATATTCTGTAGGTATTGATATTAGTATATAAAATATTTACTTACTTGTTAAAAAAAAATGTGCAATATAATAATTATAATGTCCACTGGTCGAGATATGGAAAAAGACTGATTTGTGTAGGCTTAAAGCATATGATGCCATTGTTTAGTCTACGGGCGCGATTAGTACTGGAAAAATAAATAACGATAAACAAACTCGGTAATACACTTAGTTAATGTATCCGACCGCGGACCATTTTTTTTTTTCAAACCTACCATTGAGTTTTACGAATGTTATTAAACATCAAATTAACTAACGAAACACCAATTTTTGCCAAAATGTACAGATACCCCGAAATACACCGACAAGAAGTTAAGACTCAATAAATTATTGGAACAAAATATGATTAGAGAGTCAAATTCACCATTTTCAGCTCCTATATTAATAGTACCAAAAAAACTTGATGCATCTGGAAAACCGAAATTTAGATTATGTGTCGATTATAGGAAGTTGAATGAAAAACTGCTAATGTTAAATTTCCATTACCATCAACGAAATTCTAAATAAATTGGGAAAAGCCAAATATTTTTTCGACTTTAGACTTAGCAAATGGATACTATCAAATTGAAATGGATGCAGAAGACGTTCATAAAACAGCATTTAGTACTGATTTAGGACAGTTTACCAGAATGCCCTTCGGAACACAGCAACATTCCAGAAAGCAATGAATAATATCTTGCGTGGATTGCAGAATGAAATTTGTTTTGTTTACTCGGACGATATAATAATTTGTAGTAGCAGCTTACAAGAACACTTACGGAAAATTTTCGACAGTGAAGCTAAATTCAAAGTACAACTAGACAAATCTGAATTTTTGAGACCCGAAGTTCTGGACATATTGTAACCAAACACGGGATTAAACCAAACCCAAATCGCCGCTGTTAAAGACATAAAATCTTTTCTCGGTTTAGTTGGTTATTACAGACGTTTTGGTAGAATCATCAATAAATAGTATAATTGTAAAATAAAACAAATTCTATTTTAGGGTTATCATCATTGATTGAGACCATAGTTATTTTATGGATAAACTTGTATTTTGTAGTATGATAGTAATAAAAAACTTTTTTATTTACAACCACATACGTAATGTTGACATTTCTGACTTTTCAAAAGTTTGAAAGTGACACTTTTTTGAATTTTACTTTCCACCCGGGTGGAAAGTGGTCCCGGGTGGAAAGTGCTCACTTTCCACCCGGGTGGAAAGTAAGTTCTCATTTTTTAAAATGTTTAAGACGAGTCCTGCATGCCAAACGTTTTTTTAGATGAGTCAGAACTTGTCAAAATATTTTTAAATTTTTTTTTAGTATTTAGTCGAAATGATGAGGGTTGTAATTGTTGTAAATAAAATAGTATACAAACCTCGGTACGAAGTTTTATTCCTGTCTCGAGATTATAGTTAACTTCGACGCTTCGCGTCTCAGTTAACTAACTAATCTCTCGACAGTAATGAAACACTTTCCACCTCGGTATGTAATATACTATTAAATTTCTTGCATTATTTGAATAAAAAAGTCATCGATCGGGGTGATCTGCAACAAAG